AATGAAATTTACATCCTTTTTTCCCCACAAGTAGAGCTTTATTTGATGGTATTTGATGGCCTGTGCTTTTTTAATTTTTTGCGCTATAAACAAAAAAAGACCGACAATTTTGAGAAAAAAACATTTTTGACTTTTTGCTATAAAACATATCCAGTGAAAACCTTTTAAAAATCAAATTTCATCATAAATTTAGGGCAAAATGTATTCTGCTACATGCTTTTGTTTAAAGAAAAAAAAATCCCAATACATGTAAATTGGTTTACATGAAAGTTAAGAGTGTTTACAAATTGCTTTTTTTTTTTTTTTTTTTTAACTAGTAATGGCAGCGATCGGCGACTTATAGTGGGACTGTGGCAGGCATTCTGACACCAGTGGGGAACGGACTTGGTGTCACTGACATCCCCAGTGACACCAATACAGTGGTCAATGCCAATAAAAAGCACTGACACTGTACTAATGGCACTGGGCAGGAAGGGGTTAACATCTAGAGCTATCAAAGAGTTAACTGTGTGCTGTGTGTGTTTTACTAGGGGGCCATGCAAAGCAGTGTGCTGCAGCTGACAGGGGAGAGAACTGTATTTTTTAAATACAGTTCTCTCCCCTCATCAGGATTACTCCGGTGCCGACGAGTAATCGTCGACCGGGACCCAGTGATTGACAGCCGAGGCTGCGAATGGCAGTGTGGGTAAGGCGCGCGTGTGCGTGCCCCCCCTACCGGAGATACAAAATGATGTGTATAAGCAAGATTTTACGCACCCCTGCTGCCCTGTAGCAGTATTTCTGCTATAGGGTGGCAGTAAAGTGGTTAAGGAGATTCACTCTATTTGTCCCATTTTACCATTATCATTGAAAGTAAAAGAAAATCCCAAATTTTGGGTTGGTCCCCAGAGAAGTAATAGAGGGGAAATCTTCCAATGGGGACACCAATTATGGTGACTTGGGGGTTCCCAAGGGATTCCTTTAATTTTCAGGGATTTCCTCTTGCTTCCTTTTTGGCTAGGAGGCAGGAAGTAAAGGGAAATCTCCCCAATGGGGCAAAGATGGCGGTAAAAAAATGAAAGGGGTTATAACCCTCCCTTAGCTATAGTTTTGCCTATAGTTCTACTTTATGTTTTGGATAGAGTGAGTAAGGTCCATGTTGCCATGTCCACATTGGCAATAACACCTTTTGGTAGACTGGAGAAGTCTTAGAAGCGGTCAGCTTTTTGTTATTGGCTGCCTGTGCCACCACTGGGAAAACATTTGTCATTTTTCTGTACCAGTTTACATTCTACCATTGCAATATCTCTTGAACTAAATCCAGCTCATGTGATTCACAGATGGTTGTTGTGGTCTGTCTTGATCCCGGGCTAGCAGTCAAAGTGTATCCTCCAACTTTTTATCTGTTTGTGGGTATCAACTTGGATGGTGTCTGTGGTTCATATGTGATGTACAGGCATTGAGCTGCTGAGACTGACATTTGTATTCTGTATAATTTGTACAGCCAGGCAATTTAAAAAGAATGCCTTGTGTGTATACCTTGACCAGTATATAGCCGAAACAATAACATACTATTTCCATGCACGCACATCCAAACCTACTATATTGCGTACACACACCCGGATTAGTCTATAGAGTGTGAGCAGAATGCAGTAGAGCAGGTTTGAGCATGGCTGCCTCTCAGGAAGGTCATTTATTGCTTAGAGGAGTAAGGGTGGGTGAGTACACAGATGTTGTTCTACCCATTGTATCTGCTATCGAAGCAATGACTGGATCTGCTGTAAAAACTGCTTTTTCTAAAGCTGGACTTTACACAAACATGAGCTCAGACATAATCCTCTGCTGAATTACTTAGAAGCTCAAGCACTGTTAAACCTTTTAAAATGGTTACAGTAAAGAGCAGCCCGACAGCCAGGAGCCCCATGGTGTACAGTATCTTCACAAGTCACTGAAACTCCAGTACCAGAGGCCATTTGGAAACATCTACGGTCTTATGCTGGTCATACGTTACTATTTTCTTTCATTTCCTTTAGATTTACCTTCAGCTATATAGTGCAAGGGCCTGCCTGATTGGATACAAGCTGAAAGTATTAAGGTTTGACCTCAAATTGTATGGTTTTGGTAAATCTAAAGGAAAATTGTATAATGTATGGCCGGCCTTACCGGTGTCTTTATTGTGGAACATATCAGGGCTATTTTATAACTGTAGGGAGAAAATTGTCAGCCAAAACGGATTCCAGCTCATAGTCCAATGTAGGTGTTCAAATGATTGGTTTCCTCTCTAAGACGGTACAGTTGCATTTAAATTGCTAGAAGCGAATGATAGGGTTCCTGTGTTCTGTAGTGGCATGAAGGTCAGCAGGAGGAACCACTGAGAGCTATAGGAGACCAGCTGATCAATACTTCTGAAAACGATCAGTTTCTCTGGATCAGAGCTCGCCGACAGTAACTTGGTTACAACTACAGATTCTTCTGTCAGGTTCTCATTTAAGATGTGGTAAACCTTGTCTTGTATTGGTTACCAATAGTGGTAACTAACCTTTTATTTGTCAAAATGATTTGTTTTTTTGTTTTTTTACGTACATTAATAAACTAGTAGCGTATTTCTGCCTTTGAATGGGGTTATCGACAATATTCGGCATTAACAAAGGTTGGTTTAGGATATTTGCTGGCTGGTAATGTGATAACTGGTGCTTTTGGGAGAATGCTGACATCTTGAGATACAGAGTGGAATTACACCCAGAGCAAGGTCACATTTGATCACAATTGATTTCTGTAGTGTCTCCTCCCATGGAGCACTCTACAATGCGATAACAAACACCACTAATATAGACTGTATAAATGAATAATACTTGGGTGCACTCAGAACCTAAAACATGTGCTTAAACGGAAATACTTAACGTTGCGCTGTGTATAAATTAAACAGAATGTGAAAACACCTTTCATTAACCCTTTCCGTGGTTCTCAATGTGAACTTAACGAAGATTTCTCATCATGCAATCTTTATAAAAAGATGTGTGCAGCAAACAGGTGCCATGCATCATAGCATTGGCATTTGTACATGATTTGTGTTTGTCTTATGTGTCATATTGTACAGGTGCATATCAATAAATTAGAATATCAAGAAGTTAATTTATTTCAGTAATTCAATTCAAAAAGCGAAACTCATATGTTATATAGATTCATTACACACAGAGTGATATTTTTCAAGCATTTCTTTCTTCTAATGTTGATGAATATGGCTTACAGCTAGTGAAAACCCAAAATCCAGTATCTCAGAAAATTAGAATATTACATAGGACCAATAAAAAAAAGGATTTTAATATTGAAATGTTGGCTTACTGAAAAGTATGTCCATGTACATGTACAGTATAGTATGCACTCAATACTTGGTTGGTGCTCCTTTTGCATGATTTACTGCATCAATGCAGCATGTTATGGGAGACCAGGTTGCTTTGATAACAGCCTTCAGCTCATCTGCATTGTTGGGTCTGTGTCTTTCTCACAGATTCTCTATGGGGTTTAGGTCAGGAGAGTTTGCTGGCCAGTCAAGCACAGTAATACCATGATCATTAAACCAGGTATTGGTACTTTTGGCAGTGTAGGTAGGTGCCAAGTCCTGCTGGAAAATGAAATCAGCATCTCCATAAAGCTGGTCAGCAGAGGGAAACATGAAGTGCTCTAGAATTTCCTGGTAGAGGGCTGCATTGACTTTGGACTTGATAAACCACAGTGGACCAACACCAGCAGATGACATGGCTCCTCAAATCAACACTGAGTGTGGAAACTTCACACTGGACCTCATGCAACTTGGATTCTGTTCATCTTCACTCATCTTCCAGACTCTGGACATTGATTTCCAAATGAAATGCAAAATGTACTTTCATCCGAAATTAGGACTTTGGACCACTGAGCAACAGTCCAGTCCTTTTTTCTCCTTACCCAGGTAAGACTTCTGATGTTGTCTCTGGTTCAGGAGTGGCTTGACACAAGGAATGCGACAGTTGTAGCCCATGTCCTCGAAATGTCTGTGTGGTGGTTCTTGAAGCAGCACTAACACCAGCCATAGTCCACTCCTTGTGAATTTCCCTCAAATTCTTGAATGGCCTTTGCTGCACAATCCTCTCAAGGCTGCGGTTATACCTGTTGCTTGTGCATATTTTTCTACCACACGTTTTCCTTCCACTCAACTTTCAGTTAATATGCTTGGATATAGCACTCTGTGAACAGCCAGCTTCTTTAGCAATGACCTTTTGTGACTTGCCTTCCTTGTGGAGGGTGTCAATGACTGTCTTCTGGACAACTGTCAAGTCAGCAGTCTTCCCCATGATTGTGTAACCTACTGAACCAGACTGAGAGACCATTTACCCCTTTTTCACAAATATGCGACCGTGCGGTCCGCGTTTTGCGCAGGCACAAGAGCCCATTTATTTGAATGGACTCCCGTGCCCGTGACACACAGGGAAGAAGTCCCTGCACTACTTCTGAAAACGCAGCCCACACGGGAACCTTGGTTCCCAGACGATTGCGTTTTCCAGTGCGTGGCGATGTGCCATTAGAACTAATGGCACCCACCCACGGGTCCGCATTCCTCTGTGCGGGTGTTGCAGCTGCACGGATTTTCGTGCAGATCCACAGCAGCTCCACCCGCACATATGTGAACCTAGCCTTAGAGGCTCGGGAAACCTTTACATGTGTTTTGAGTTAATTAGCTGATTAGAGTGTGACACCTTGTCTACAATATTGAACTTTTTCACTATATTCTAACTTTCTGAGATACTGAATTTTGGGTTTTCACTTGCTGTACGACATAATCCTCAAAATTAAAAGAAAAAAAATTCTTGAGATATATTACTCTGTGTGTAATGAATCCATATAATGTGTGTTTCACTTTTTACATTGAATTACTGAAATAAATTAACTTTTTGGTGATATTCTAATTTATTGAGCTGCACCTGTAAATGTCTTGTGATAGCTTATTACCTATTACCAATCCAATAACTGGTGATACATCTGTCTAGGAAAATGCACTGCTGGTCCGGGAAGTTGAAGTAGACAAAGTAAACACTCTGGAAAGGAAACAAGTAGAAGCAATAAAGAAGCTCTGGGAAGACTCTGGCATCCAGGAGTGCTACGACAGAAGGAGAGAGTACCAACTGTCTGACTCTGCTAAATAGTGAGTATAATAATGGGCACATCTACACCCATCTGCATGAAAAACTCAATATTTCTTCTTTGAGAACTTAGGAGCTGATTGGGTACCATGGACAGGTGCACCAGTTTTAGTAAATCTCCCCTTTTATGTCAACCATAATACAGATTGGACATTCTGTAACCACTCGAGCCGCAGCAACAAACTGTTCCAGCGCTAGGTGTCTTTCAGCTACAACAGCCAGTTGAAGGTCCTCCCCAAAATCATCCAGTATTATAGGACACAGGCTGCACACTGTTGATTTCCAGGCTGGACACGCTTTGTTTTGAATCACTGACATGTCAGTCTGAATTCTGCTCTTCCCTTGACCTGATTTGCCTTTTCTTGGGCCTAGTCTTAGGCACCCATTATAAACCAATATTACTGTTTATACCCTATTACTTTTCACAATCCTTAATGTATCTCCTTTGACAAATGTAACCTTCCTGCATTTCAGCTACCTTAGCGACATAGATCGCATTGCTGTACCTTCTTTTGTACCCACCCAACAAGATGTCCTTCGAGTCAGAGTGCCCACTACTGGAATCATCGAGTATCCCTTTGATTTAGAAAATATTATTTTCAGGTAAGTTGTTTTCCATACAAGAGTGAAATGTTTTCAGAGGAAACTTGCTTTTCCACTTCTTCTTCTAGCTTTGCCACTGATATTAAAAACTAAAGTTGGGTGAAGCTGAGATGAAGTATCTGGCAGGTTAGTCTTCTAAGTGTTAAATGTTCATCGGGCAGACTATAATCCTTCTATATATATATATAGAGCCATGTGCAAATCCCAGTGCTGTCAGGTTGTTCTATAACTCATAGCAGGTAAGCTTAACATACGGTCACTCTGGTAAAAAGATAAAAGGGTTGTCTTAAAGTGATATTAATAATGTTTGGTTTTTTTTGTTTGGTTTTTGGTAATAAATATGTCATTCTTACTTCTCTTTAATGGTTTTGCTTAGCGCAGCCCTGATCATCTTTTTCTCAGGTCACCCACCGGCGCTCCTTGGGATAGGGATTTTTTTTTTTTTTTTTTTTTTTACTGCAGCAGGTTGTGTTTTTGATTCCACAGACTTCAATGGAAACGCATCAAAAACACAGTGCTTGCGTTTTTTTTTATGCATTGCTGCTGTGTTTTTGCTGGGTTCTCCTGCAAGACAACAGACACCTCCCAAAAACGGAATTAAAACATCGCAAAACTGCGCATGAAAAAAAAAAAACGCATCATGAAAATGCATCAACTGCAACCTGCATAGGTGTGAACCAGGCCAAACTGAAATGAAAAGAGCTGCTGAATAAAATTATTAGGTTAATTCCAAAGGGAGTAGTCAGAATATTCACTATACTGTTCTGGCCAGTTTACTTCTTGAAGAGTACAGGGATGTGAAGGGGCCAGGATGCAAAGCAGAAAAACACATGATAACTCCTGATTTGTTGAGGTGTTCGGTAATTTAGCATTCTCTGCAGTCATGGCTCTGTCAGCTCCACAAGGCCTTCTTCACTTCACTGCGCAAATCACTCTGATCTTTACCTCTCTGCATACCTCTGTTTCTAATCCACCTGCTTCACTTTAATGCCAGCTCCATGTCCACTGTGCATGACTATGTGACTTTAACTTACCTGCTTCACCTTACTGTCAGCAGCCATTCTCTGGCTTCACTTCACCATATGGTTTAGTCCACTACGCATGCCCCTGTCAGCTCCACACCTTGTGGTTCAACCCACTGTACACAAATCTGCTATACACCTCATAGTTTAACCTATTGTATAACCCTAACATATTGTTCAAGCCATTGTGTACCCCTCTGTCAGCTATACACCACATGGTGCACAGTTAACAGATATGGTGATTGCCTTGAACCATGTGGTTTAACCTACAGCACACAACTGTCAGCTACACACCGCATTGTTCAACCCATTGTGTCCCCTCTGTCAGCTCTGTACTCTGCCCACACCACATGGAGCAACCTACTGTTCACCTTTGTCAGCTTTGCACCATGTGGTTCAACTTAGAGTAGAGTAGCATGCTTAGATAAGTGTTCACATTGGATTCCTATTGACAGACGTTTTATCATTGAAGTCTATGGGAGGCATTTTTGCATTGAAATCAGTGGGGTGAACCCAGGTGCTAGGATACAGTTTCTAGTCACCATGGCAACTTGGTGCCTGGGATTTGTCAAGCCCGGAGCTGCACACCACATGGTTCAGTCCATTGTGTCCCCTGTGTTAGCTGTGTGTCATGTGGTTCAACCTAGTTTTATACAGCTTTTAGCTACACATCATATGGTTGAACCCATTGCATTCTCCTCTGTCAGCTCTGCACCATGACGTTCAATCTACTAGCTCCACAAAATGTGGTTCCACCCATATTTATACAATTCTGTCAGCTACACACACCACATCTGTGTCTGCTCTGCATCATGTTGGCCAACCTGCTGTACACCTTTTTTTTATTAGCTCCACACAGCTTCCAAATTGTTCATTGACTGGTTAGATTCCAAGTATAAGATACCTACTTCTCTGCTTCTGGTGGTGGACTCCGCACACACAGGTCCTTGATCAGACCCTGCCCTGTTCTTTTCATGTAGTTTAGAAACTCCTCTTGATTGGAGTCTCTAATGCTACTGAGAAATGGGTTTATGCTCCTATTATTTTGCAGATTATACAATTCATGGCTATCGAACTGGGGTGATTTAAAGGGAACCATTTACTGTTTGTAAACTAGGTAATATAATGTTCTCCAAACACATTTGTGTAATGCTGGTTACGATTCCATTTTAGGTTTAACATTCTTATTTCATATCCTACCATTGACTAGACCTATTTTCTCTAGTTCAGTGAAAATCATTTTCTTTTTGTTACCTGTAAGGTTCATATACACAGACCTGTGCATTCATGGTCAGAAAAGACATTGGGGTCTCCAGGTAACCTGCATTGCTGCAGTGTTTTTAATATACTAACAGGAAAACTTGTCAGTATGTAAACTTCCCATAACCTTTTGTAAGCAAAATAATTTCAGAAGTAAACCGTGGTTTGCTTTTTTTTTTTTTCTTGCATTTTTTTCTTGCAACACTAGAGTATAGATCCCCTAATGATAAACACTGAAGGAAGTACACAAATGACTTGCACCGTGCTGATGTGTCTGATCATTTGATTTTGTCAAGTTTTGACTTTTTAAATTTAAAGGTAGATGTTTTACCACCAAGTAAAACAAGTCTTGTATAGGCCGAGTTAGTCTGTGTAGCTCTGACATTCCCATACAAACTCAGAGGAAAGTTTGCACTCCCAGCAGCCTACCAGGGGTATCTTCTACATGAAACAAGGACCTTATCTGCTACAGGTAGCAACTTTAAAATCAAGGAAACCAGTAATGTCTTTTCTCTTAATTCAAATACCTGCACTGCTTCTTATAAAGGGATTCTCACTATTTGTTTGACAGGATGGTGGATGTTGGTGGCCAGAGATCCGAAAGAAGAAAGTGGATTCACTGTTTTGAAAATGTCACTTCTATAATTTTTCTGGTGGCGCTGAGTGAATATGATCAGGTTCTTGCAGAATGTGACAACGAGGTAATTCTGTTTATATGTGTTACTTTAAGAACAGACATTAATATCTATGATTTATGACTGCGCCACACAAACCATGGAGATACCAACTTAAAGCAGAACTTAACTGTAAAAAACTAAAAATTGTGAGCAGGCAGGATCTGTATTGCAGAAGAGACGCATACTGTGTCTTTTCTGCAGTAAAACAAACGTACCTGCTTTTTTGCAGTCTTCGTTAGATGGTACACGTTCAGTGTACCATCTAACGAAGACTGCAAAAAAGCAGCACAATGCACAGCACAATGCACATTTTTAGCACAGCTTTGTGTCTTTTAACCACTTCCCCTCCTGAGGATTTACCCCCCCCCCCCCCCTTCCTGACCAGGCCATTTTTTGCATTACAGCATTGCGTTACTTTAACTGACAATTGTGCAGTAATGCAACGCTGCACCCAAATGGAATTTTTTTTCCCCCACGAATTGAGCTCTCTTTTGGTGGTATTTGATCGCCTGTGCGTTTTTTTTTTATTTTTTGCTTTATATAAAAAAAAAAAGACCGACAATTTTGAGAAAAAAAAAACAACACTTTAGACTTTTTGCTATTAAACATGTCCAGTAAAAAAAATTTAAAAAAATCTAATTTTGTCAAATTCACACCAAAATGTATTCTGCTACATATCTTTCCTAAAAAGAAAAACCCAATATGTGTAAATTAAATGGTTTATGTAAAAAGTACTAGTAATGGCAGCAATCGGCAACTTATTGTGGGACTGCGGCAGGCATTCTGACACTAGGGGGAACTGACTTGGTGTCACTGACATTCCCAGTGACACCAATACAGTGATCAGTGCTAAAAAAAAAAAAAAAAAGCACTGACACTGTACTAATGGCACTGGGCAGGAAGGAGTTAACATGAGGGGTGATCAAAGAGTTAACTGTGTGCTGGGAGTGTTTTACATAAGGGGCCGTGTCAGTGTGCTTCACTGTAAGAACACTGCTTTGGATGGCTGTGCTGTGCCGCGAATGGTGGCGCCAGTAGGGTGCGCGCATGCCCCCTACCCATAAATGCAAAATCACGTGTGTATATTTGTGATTTTGCACACCCCTGCTTCCCTGCATCAGTATTACTGCTATAGGGCAGACGGGCAGCGGTTAAAGTGATAAAGGTTCTGTTTTTGTGTTTTGTTTTTTTTTTAGCAAACATGTCATACTTACCTGCTCTGTGCAATAATTTTGCACAGAGCATCCATGATCTTGCTCTTCTCAGGTTCCGCTCTGTGCTCCTGCCCCCTGCTGAGTGCCCCCAGTGCAAGCCGCTTGCTGGGCGATTTATGGGCTGGCTCCCTAGCCCCACTCTGTGCCTATAAGACGCACACTGCGGCTCAGCCCCACCCCCTGCTCCCTCCTCATTGGCTGTGATTGGCAGCTGTGGGAGCCAGTGGCTCCCTCTGCTTTCTCATCCAATGAGTAGAGAGAAATCTGAGAGAGCCCTGGCACCTATGCCCATCACTGGATCGAGATCGGGCTCAGGTAGGTACTGGGGATGCTGCCGCACGCAAAAGGTGTTTTTTTTTTATTTTTTACCTTCATGCCTGGAATACATGAAGGTAAAAAACTTTCAGCCTTTACAACCCCTTTAAATATTACCATTGAAAGCATTTTGATACATCTGTTTTATAGGTTCAACACAACCCTGTTGATCCTCCAAGAAAAATCCAGTGCTGATCTATGTGGTCTGCAGTGTTATCTCAAAAATCAGCAGCTGGGACCTGTGTTATAAAGAGATATGTGTTCTGCAGTCCCCAACACACCTCCTCTCCTAGGATGACAACACTGTGCTTTATAGGACACCGTAGAGTGAATAAGTGTTGTCAGCCTAGGACAGAAAATTTGTTTATGGGAGGATCACGGGGTAAAAAGTAAAACAAATGCAACTACCACATCAAAGTATTGGTAAGCTGCAGTAGGGTAATCTTTTCTTCTTGAGTTCAGATATGCTATAGGAAAGTTTATATTTAAATATATTTTTTCCTGTATATAACGTACACCTGAACAATTAAATTCTGCTAATATCTGACAATATTGTATTCTTCAGAATCGAATGGAAGAAAGCAAAGCTCTGTTCAGGACCATCATAACTTACCCCTGGTTTCTGAATTCTTCTGTCATCCTGTTCTTGAATAAGAAGGATCTTTTAGAGGAAAAAATCCAGTTCTCTCACTTAATTGACTACTTCCCAGAGTTCACTGGTAAGTATTGGTTACCGTGTTGTTGAGAAGGTGCATAGACAACCATACCACGTCTGTTTGGATGGTGTATTTGTTGAGCACAGGGATTTCAGCAATGTCAAAGTTGTCTGTAATCAGTGCTGTGGATCCTCACTGGATTGGTGCAGATATTTCAGGTGTAAGCACATAGACAAAGCATATGAATGTGTCCAGTTGCCAAGATTAATTAAGGAGACTCGGCCTACCTGTTGAGTGCTTATTTTCATTATGACACTTACCTCTGCCCCTGGTAGGTTGTCCTGCCAGCTAAATCTCTAGAGATGCTGGTATGCTCAGTGTTTTGAGTGATCCTGATTCTCAGCAATTCCAGCAAGTTTTATAAATAGGACCCTTGCTCTAAGCCCACTGGTGCATCCCTCACACACTAGTCTTAGTGTAAAACGTGACTGGGAGCCCTGGCTGCAAGGTATTCTATATAAAAGGTGCATTTAAGCGGAGTACACACTTTCTTTTTTTTTTTTTCCATTCAACCCACTGGCTGAACGAACCAGAGACTGACAGATTCCTTCATAATCACAAGCGATGTTGATGCAGGAATTTCTCTTGCTGCACAATTTGTATTCTGACAGGGAGGACTAACCTGCCAAGTCAGAATACACAGAGCAGCACTTGTAGCCATTGGCTGCAAGCAGTGATTGAATGCTGGTTTTTCCAGCATGCCCGTTCGATAGAAGCCAGTCGTTGGAAGACTTCTGTAGAACAGACAGCTGAAAACATGGGGTGAAAGTCGGCTGCTTTCTGCTGGACCAGCTGATATTCAGCCCACATGTTGTAGGCTTTAGGCTTGGAAAAGTTGCAGTATGCCGGATAACAGCAGCAGTTCCTAAATGATGTTTTGTGGAAAGTTGCACTGCTACTTCACGTGAAATGCAGTTATCCTGCCTGCTAAGCCACCCTGACCTAAAGTAAGCCATCCACCCCAGATGCATGTTACCTTTACATTCAGAATTATGGTCTGTCATGATGTTTGTTAACATCCCAAGGCCAAAATCATCGCTCTTTTGGCTTGCAGTTCTCTATGGGACTATGCCCACAGTGTCTTCAGGTAAAAATATGTACTGCAATATTCAATTTGGTTTGCTTTTTAATATAAGAGTTCCCAGTATTCCCCCTATTTCCAGAGCTGGGTATGTATCACTGTGTAAGACTCCCAAAATATCTTAGCTTGAAATAATAAGTAGCCTTTGTTTGTCCACTCCAGTACATGAAAAAGGGGACATGAGTTACTACAGGAAACGAGTCAAGAGAAACTTGGAGGTTGCTAGTGCTTACCTCTGCTTTGAAAACTACTTTCTTGGCGTTTATCCTGACCTTCTGGCTTCAGTACTTTGGGGATCACTTAGTGGGAACAAGTATTCAGGACATCTGACTGTTTTGATCTGCATACATGTTATGAATCATTGACTCACAATATATTGAAGCCAGGGGATCAGGAAACCTGCCAGGCAACTAGGGTTTTCAGGAAAATGACCAATTGACATATTCCTATTTACCGTATTTTCCGGCGTATAAGACGACTGGGCGTATAAGACGACCCCCTACTTTTCCTGTTAAAATGTAGTGTTTGGGCTATACTCGCCGTATAAGACTACCCCTCTTCCAATGCACACCAGTGGGAAGAATCGTGCCCCATCATTGTTGTCAGTGGAAGGAATAGTGTCCCATCATTGTTGTCAGTGGGAGGAATAGTGCCCCATCATTGTTGTCAGTGGGAGGAATAGTGTCCCATCATTGTTGTCAGTGGGAGGAATGTGCCCCATCATTGGTGTCAGAATGACGAATCGTGCCCCATCATTGGTGTCAGTGGGGGAGGAATAGCACCCCATCATTGGTGTCAATGGGAGGAATAGCGCCCCATCATTGGTGTCAGTGGGAGGAATCGTGCCCCATCATTGGTGTCAGTGGGAGGAATAGTGTCCCATCGTTGGTGTCAGTGGGGGGTGGAATAGTGCCCCATCGTTGGTGTCAGTGGGGGGGGGGGAGGAAAAGTGCCCCATCGTTGGTGTCAGTGGGAGGAATAATGCCCCATCGTTGGTGTCAGTGGGAGGAATAATGCCCCATCATTGGTATCAGTGAGACCAATGATGGGGCACTGATTTTATAGGGTGTATACTTGTGAGCTACTATGGTGACAAAAAAGTGCTTACAATTAATTATTTTAAATATAATGGTGCATCAACACATAAAACACATACTCAAATTAATGTGTAGACAAAAGCAAAATAAAAAATATTATCTGTGTCGCGCTCCTCAGAATATTGTTTGGTGATATATGATGTATTATAAAATATAATATATTAAATAAATAAATATAAATAAATAAATGGATATTATCTCATAATAATATAATGTAACTTAAATTAAATCATGCCCAGTGCTGCAAATTAATTATAAATAACTAAAAATAATGTATTTGATAATATGAAATATGTAATATATTGTGCCACAAATCAAATGAATCAAAGAAAAACCTCTTTGTTCAAAAATAAAAATAAAAAATGTGCAAAAATTGTGCATGTGCAAAATGTGCAAATATTGCCCAAAGCAGTGGAAAATATATATGTAATAAAGTGCAATGCTTAATTAAATCTGAAAAAATAATGATGCCAAAACTATGCAATTAATATATAGTAATCACTACACTTGTGCAACCTGAAGCGGTGATTAGGACTATATACTTCTAATCCTTATTTAAGATAAGATATAAACGTCCCAATTTATGCAGATGTATAGAAAGTCTATTGTTGTTAGAGTAGACTGCGATGTTGCTTTCCTTCCACTAGATGGCCTCCCAGTTCCTTCCGAATTGTGAGGGCTGGATGGATAGATATGGATATCTCCCCTCGTATGGTGTGGGGTCTATCTCTTATCACTTCATCCTCCCCTTTTAGTCCTCCGATTTAGGCCATGAAAGAGAAAAGAGATCCCCACATGGTGCTTATATCTTTCAGAAAGGTTTTAATGCGTCTCCTGACAAATTCAAACTCACATTTCCAAGATCAATACAGAGCGTTTGTTAAAATGTGTGCCCTCGCACAAAGACAGTACTCGCCGTTCCGCTAGTTGTGGCGTCGTGACGTCAGAGCCCCTTCCCTACGCGTTGCGCCACAGGGTCACGTGGCTTCCTCAGGGGGATGAAGGAAAGCAACATCGCAGTCTACTCTAACAACAATAGACTTTCTATACATCTGCACAAATTGGGACGTTTATATCTTATCTTAAATAAGGATTAGAAGTATATAGTCCTAATCACCGCTTCAGGTTGCACAAGTATAGTGATTACTATATATTAATTGCATAGTTTTGTATCATTATATTTTTTTCAGATTTAATTAAGCATTGCACTTTATTACATATATATTTTCCACTGCTTTGGGCAATATTTGCACATTTTGCACATGCACAATTTTTGCACATTTTTTATTTTTATTTTTGAACAAAGAGGTTTTTCTTTGATTCATTTGATTTGTGGCACAATATATTACATATTTCATATTATCAAATACATTATTTTTAGTTATTTATAATTAATTTGCAGCACTGAGGGGCATGATTTAATTTAAGTTACATTATATTATTATGAGATAATATCCATTTATTTATTTATATTTATTTATTTAATATATTATATTTTATAATACATCATATATCACCAAACAATATAATGATGGGGCACTATTCCTCCCACTGACACCAATTACACCTGTTCTAGTATGGTGCTGCTGCAGCCAGCATGTGTTGTTGCAGCAGCACCTCTGCACGGCACACTTACCGGCCGCTCCTTCACTCGATTTTCATGGGGCCGCTCGGCTCCGCCTCCTCACCGGTGATTGGCCGCCTGTGTGCCTTTCCTGAGCTACAGTTCTGGCGGCCAATCACCGGTGAGGAGGCAGAGCCGAGCAGCCACGCGAACATCCAGTGTCCGAACCGAATGAAGGAGCAGCTGCGCTTCCTGGACCGGATTGTCGCGGGACCGGAGCCAGGTAAGAGACAGCAGCCCCTGCCCACCCCTGTACTTAGTGTCCCTTCCGTTGGAAGGGGGGGGGGGGGGGCGGCGGCGGCGGCTCCGTGCCGCCTTCCTAAAAAGTGTCAGCATGCCGTATACCGGCGTATAAGACGACCCCCGACTTTTGAGAAGATTTTCAAGGGGTAAAAAGTCGTCCTATACGCCGGAAAATACGGTACTTATACATGAGATCTATGAAAATCTCAGGAGGAGGTAGAAAAGTAAAACAGATCTGCTGGGCAGGGAGAGATTCTGACATTTCTATGCTGCAGTTCACTTTCCCTCCTCCACAGCCTGTGACTGGACAGTGAAAGGAAAAGCAGCGCACTAATTAGTTCATCTTTTATGTCGTTTTGCTCTTCCCATTAACATGCTCCTCATGCTGCTTACGTCTCCCATCCTCAAAGCTCTCCTGTTCAAAAACTGCACAAGGCTGAGATAACAAGTCAAATTCGGGTGCTTCGCTATTTTGGTGGGGTAGTAGATCAACTGAGCTTAGATGTTCATGTCTCAGTATAGATATATGTCTAATTTATTCTATGTTTGACAAAAAGGTCCTAAACAAGATGCCAAAGCAGCTCGGGATTTCATCCTCAAACTCTACCAAGACCAGAACCCTGACAAAGAGAAGGTCATCTATTCTCACTTCACCTGCGCTACCGACACTGAGAATATTCGGTTTGTCTTCGCTGCTGTTAAAGACACTATCCTACAACTAAACCTTAGGGAGTTCAATCTAGTGTAAGAACTGGACAGTGCAGTCTTGGATCTTTTAATCATTCTGTACCAATGACTTGTCCCCTTGGAGGCAAGAGGGTATATTTCTCTACCAAATGTACTGTGTTCTAATTTTTAGGAAAATTTAATCAGGAAGAGAAAATATTAATCTACTCCCCCTCCCCACTCGTTTACTGGGTTTTTTAATGTGGTATATATACCTTAAATGCGGTTTTCCTTTTCCCCATTTTACTTTATTTTATCCAATGTTTGTATAAAAGGATATTTAAAAAAAAAAAAAATCAGACTGAAATACGAAATGTAAAAAATAGATGATGATGTTTTTTTTTTTTTTTTCTCAAACGGTTGTGTTTTAGTTTGTAACCAATATTGCCTTTAGCTATTTTAAAGCAACACAACATTTTTAATAGAAAATCTTACCTTTTTTACATAGATCAGGGTGTTTGACTTTATAATTGTAGAATGTATGTTTTCTTTCTGAAGAACATGGGCCCTTTTGTTATTTAATAGAGCCATTAAGAGAAAAGCTAGATTATCTATTGAGAAGAATGTTAATCGAGGCATTTTTACAATGTAATACCAAAGCGAGAATAAATCAGCATTGTAATGATATTTGTAAATATGTATGTCTTTATAAATATTATGTATGTGTATATATCTGTATAAGCATATATACATATATTGTACATGTTTTCTTCCAGTGAGGCAGTTTTGAATATGAAAAATACAATTTAAAATCTTGGGATACTAAAGGATCTTGGCGTGCTGTATATGTTCTGTATTTGATTTTTAAATGGGCTGTTTTATTACCAATGCGTATGCTTTCTAGCCTCCACAATAAAGTGCTTTTTTTCATTTCATGTTTTAGGAGGTTAGATTTCAAAAAGTATACATGACCATTAATTTCCAAATGGTAAACTTTATCCATTTCTTTTCTTGTTTGAGGCTTTGTTTTTACATTTTCTTTTTGCCTAGCTGGTAGATTTTTTTTGTTCTTTAAAAATGTGTCTATGCAGCCTCTAAGCAATCTGATTCACCCAAATGATCAATCTTGTTTTTATTTATAAAATTCAGATTTCGTAATTTCAAGTTTTGTAAGTTATTTTTCTTAAATTGCACTATCACTCATGACTCATCTTACGAAGCCAACATTTGTAAAACAAATTCACATAGAAAGCCTTATAGGAAAACATGGCGGTGTCAGCGCAGAATTTCTGTAACTGATGGGCATCAGATAAACAGACGCAGCAATGTGTATGATTATTTTACTTTTTTTAAGTGTGTTTTTGATACTGATTATTTCATGTTAAACTGCTAAATGGATCAACATTATTCGGGTTTTGATTTTACATCTGATGTTTTGTTAGCCTTTGTCAAGATTATATGTTCTGTTTTAAATGTAGTGGTATTCAGAATATGTTAAACGTTTGTAAATATAAACAAATGTCCTTTGCAAGTAATGTTGATTGATAACACAATAAGATCTGATTTTACAGGAAAGGGTACTTTTATTTCCTGATTAACTATGTTTTGGATAGTCTTCCCCAAACTAAAGAATAAGTACAGTGGAGGCAGGCCTGTATTATGAATGATGTGATCCCTAGCTAAGCTCCCAACTAGTAAGTAGTAAAGGGACACTGAGGAAGCTGCGCACAGCAAGCACAACAGAACTGTCTGCTGTGTGAATCTGGCTAGAACTCTAATTATGATACCAACCCTCCCACTCCTTTTTTCTATAGACATATATGTCATTATGTTGGTCTCACTCTTACAAGAGATCTTCACTTCATAATTATGATATTCTTAATGGGGGGAAGGTGGCTTGCATTTTTTTTTTTTTTTTTTGAACAGACTCTGAATTTACATCTATATTTAAAACCTGTTACTTTGTGTTGTTGTCCACTGGAAGGCAGGATCTGATGGAAGGGCAAGTTTGTGGTCTTGGTCTCCAGTGTTCAGACACAGGTCATCCTTAATATGAAATCTATGCAAAGCAACCAGAATTGTGATTTTAATAACAGAACAATACTTGGGAAGTTAAGAGACTGTGTATGAGGATATTAATGGTTTTTAGGCCCTAAATCTATGCCACACCGAACTTGGTGCAGCTCCACCTTCTAATTTTTACTGCCAGTGTTTGCTGGCTTATGCAGGGAATCCTTTTTACACTCTTCAACTGTATTGTTTTTATGTTTTTTTTTGGCGTTTACAGTTTCAATAAAGATATGAAAACAGCTGGACTCTTTTAATGTATACTTGTAGACCAAAACTACAGACACCTTTGATACATAGTCACTTTTCAAAAGGTTGGAGGAATCAGAGTGAGATCTTGTAATGCTTTAATTTTTTATGCAGTTCAAGGTTCAACTAATTTACCTCCCACAATAGGAAAGTAAATGTGATTAGAAAAAAACCCCAGAAAAATCCATAGTGTTAATGCACAAAGGGCCTCATTAGTGTGAAGTGCAGATTAATGAACACCTGTTTAATTCTATATACATGATTCAGTGTTTGCATTTACTGCTCTCTAAATTCAGGCCCTTGGCACAGAAGCAAGCTGGTTTTCATCATGTGAATGTTTTAAAAGTGTCTTATGTCTGTAGTTGGGTAAAACATAATGGCAGATGCTGCATTATAACTCAGTTTGATGTATTTGCCTTCCTTCCATTGGGAAGTTGTATATAATACATACAGTAATTAGCAGTGACAGACATGGCAAACAAAAAGAAGAGACTGCAAATCATTACTGGAAATCCAGCGTGATTCAATTTATTAGCTAAACCTGAAGAAACATTTTTTTTTTCATAAGTAGTCATAATTATTCATGGTGTAACAGCTTGATGCATATACATTCATCCAGACTAGACGAGTTTTAAATGAAAATGACCACAAAGGTGATCCATGGCACTACAATCTATAGAATCTCATTCTGTGAACTAGTGCCAACACACTTAGTGGACAGTTAGCCTGTATTACATTCTCCTGGAGGTTTATAACAAACCACTAGTATGTATATTCTATGCACTTGTGACCCACACAGAGGCCCTGGTGCTATCACTGCTCTCTAGTGCACTGGTGGAACATTCCATTCAGTATTTTGTTTCTTTCTTTTTCCCACTTTAAAATGTCTGACCTATTTGCTTGAGCTTGACACCACTTTTCTATAGCTTGAGCTTGACACCACTTTTCTATAGCTTAAAGTGTAACCCCGGCCCAAATTTTCTTTAAGGTTTTGGACACAGTGGGGAAGAGTTAGAGCCACTGTTTTCTTATCCATTGGGAAAAAATATTGTAGAATTCAATGCCCATAACTATATAACATCTTATGGACCAGAGAGCATTGTTACATTTTAGTTATGGGTCTATTGATTTGGTTATACCCTTGTTTCTTACAAGACTGTCTTTATAAAAAGAAAAAATATATATATTTTATTTATTTAATTTGAACAGTGTTTTAAAACTACTCTGGAAAGTACATGTTTTATTCTACGATTTGTTCAATTTATAAGAACACTAAAATTAAATTTCCATTACAAAGCACTGTAGTTATTCACAAGGTAAATGTTTGATTGGCTTTGTTTTCTCACTGTTGGAGCATCGCATCAAAAATACAAAAAAGGAACCCTTGTTTAACAATGGATGGCAGGGCTATTGCAGGGACGAAGTTGTTAGGACTGATTAAGGTTACATATTGTTAATTGGGGGGGGGGGTTAAAGCTGCACTCTGGGATAATCAAACATTATATACAAGAGGCACATGTATCACTACTTGAATTATCATGTACGTCTTCCAGATCTGTGCAGGAGCTTCCTGTAAAGACCTATCACTGCTGTTCTCCCCTTGTGCAGGGTGACTGGTCTTGTATCCGCCCCACCTGTAGTTGTCTACAGGCAAACCTCTGGTGGGTCCCTCACACAGCTCACCTCTTTCCACAGGCCATGTACAGCACTGTGACAATGCTAATTTTTGTGGTGATAAAAGGGTTTGCAAAGGAGTTTTATTGCACAGAAAGTGAATTTTATAGCTTTTTGAGGAATATATTTTATATAAAAGCTTTTGCACCCAGAGTTCTGTTGTGAATATGTAAATTTTTTCATAATAAAAATTTTTTACTTGCAAATGTGTTTTTAAATGATGCGCAAATCCCTTGGTGGATGTGCACCTAAAATATAAATTGCAATACAGTGTAACAATAATATTGCTTCAATTTATATAAACGAAGCCTGCAAACACTATTTCCAAGTTTCATTTATTCAGGAGCTGCTGTCAGCAGTCCAGAGCCGCGGGCCAAAAGATGACTGTCCCAGCAATTTCAGCGCCTGTGGTGGCATTGAGTGTACAGGGTCACTGCGCAAGGTGCCTACATGTTACCTTTGTATGTTAGGAGACTTCAATTAAAAATCTTCTGTGTATCAGAGTATCAGGCCTATGAAAAAGTGTAGTCTCCCCAACAGGGACATACACTGCAAAAAAAAAAAAAAAAAAAAACCCAGCAGTAATAAACTTTCCCCACTCTAAGCAAAAAAAACAAAAAAAGTTTTGGCTGTCACATTGGACTGAGGTTTTTTTTTTTTGCATATTTACACAGGCTTTCAGCTTCAACCTCGGATTAACCCCTAACAACTCAGGGTCAATCGTGATTCAACTCCAGTGATTACAAATCAAATTATACGACTATAAAACACCATGCCTCTTCACAGTTCAGATGTATATCTACTTGACTCTTCTTAGTTATGACCACTGGTCGGGTACTAGAAATAAATGATGGTGCCATCTGAATTTCAACAATGTTCATGGAGTCATCAGCACCTCTTATGGACCAAAGCAAGTTTTACCTTTTTGCTATGGACCAATTAATTCTGCAAATACAGGTGATGCAGAGGTATTACAGATGTGTTTTTGTTTAGGGAAAAACCATGCTTGCTTTTGGCAAATTTGTCATGCAAAAATAAGTTTACATAGGTAGCCTTAAAGCAGAACTTCCCATTTTGGGTGGAGCTCTGCTT